ATTTTATTTGTAAAATTACTTTAGATTATTTTTAATTTTAAGTTGATTTCATCAATTTCATTGTATAAAATTGTTACTTATTTTATTTTAAAAATCAAATTGATTTATTTTAAATTACAATCACTCTATAATTTGAAATAATAATTTAATTTCAAATTACATTTACATAAAGTTAAAAAATTTCATTCCTTAATTGTGATTTGATTTTAACTAGATTTTACAATTGAATTATTATATTATCTATTAATTAGCAACATATAAAATAAAAATTAAACAAAAACACATATATAATTGAAAATGTAAAAAAAAGTTTTGACCCGGTTGATTGAGTTGACCGAGTTGAATGGGTTTCATCGGTTTGGTTAGGTTAAGTCTGAGCTGGTTTGATCGGTTTTGACTTGGTTTGACCTCAAACCCGGTCAATATCATCAATCGACTCTTTTTTAGAACCGATTTTGATTCAACCAATTGAACCAACCTTGCCGGTCTGGTTTGAAAATAGTGTTTACAACTTTTCCCATTTCTTTATCTATTACTCGCACTTATATAATTACTATTATTACTTTAATAATGATTTAATTTACTTAAAATATTAATTGTATTATTCAGTTAAAGATGACAGATGATCGTCATTGGATGTATAGACGACGAGGTCCTCGTGGAGATTATGATGGCGAATTCTTTAATGGATTACAACAATTTTTTGATTTCATATATAGTCATCCCGGTGTCCACCCGAATGCCAAAATTCGCTACCCCTATAGTAAATGTGGAAATTTACCTCACCACAATAGGGCAGTTGTAACAAACCATCTCTCAAGATATGGTTTCATGGATGCATATTCTGTGTGGTGGGCACATGGTGAAACTTTAAGTAACAATGTTGATCCATGGTTTGCCACAAGTGATGTGGCATCCTCAAGTAATATTGAGGAACATCGTAATGCTGAGGATGATTTCCATCACATGGTTTATGATGCATTTTGTCCATCTGAGAATGATCGTCATAGAAATGAAATAGAGTTTGCATCTGAAAATGTTGGAGATGCGCCAAATAATAATGCACAATCTTTTTATGACTTGTTGCGTGCTTCAACCATCCCGCTTGGACCAGCATCTAATAACCAAACATTGCTTGGTTGGTTATCATATATGCTGCACACCAAAGGCCAAAAACAACATAAGTGGTGTTGGTTACAATGAGATCATTCATGGCTGTAGGAAATTGTTAAGTCCAGAAGATCAGCAAAAAGTACCGTCAAATTTTTATGAAGCAAAGAAATTCATGAAAAGCCTAGGTTTAGGCTATGTCAAAATTGATGCATGTGTCAACAATGCTTTATGTATTATGGTGATGAGGCTAAGTCACTTACTGCTTGTCCAGTTTGTGGTGAACCTAGGTATAAAAGACGCAACTCGGCTCAAACTGGAAAAAAGGATAGGCCGAGGAATTCTTTGTGGTATCTACCCATTATTCCACGCCTACAGAGGCTGTACATGTCTCGTAAAACCGCTGAGCATATGATATGGCACCTTAAATGTCGTGTTGACTCAGAGATCCTCATTCATCCAGCTCAGTCTAATGCTTGGAAACACTTTGATGCTGTTCATCCTTCATTTGCAGCTGATCTGCGAAATATCCAGGTTGGTCTTGCAACAGACGGGTTTAACCCATGGGGTCACTCTTCGAGGTCATATTCCTGTTGGCCTGTTTTCATTGTTGTTTACAATCTTCCTCCTGAGATGTGCATGCGACCTGAATTTACATTCCTAACACTTGTTATTTCTGGGCCAAAAAGTCTAGGAAAAAACATTGATGTTTTCCTCCGTCCACTTATTGATGACCTGAAATGGTTATGGTCGTCAGGGGTAGAAACATTTGACAGCTTCCGTAAACAGAACTTCATAATGCGAGCCATGCTTATGTGGACCATAATGGATTTCCCCGGCTATGGTATGGTTTCTGGATGGAGCACGCATGGCCGTCTGTCTTGTCCATATTGCATGGAAATGACTTGTGCTTTTTACTTGCAAAATGGTCGTAAGATCTCATTCTTTGACTGTCAACGACAGTTTCTTCCTGCATCACACTCGTATAGAATGGATACAACTCATTTCCTTAAGGGCCGCTTTGAATTTGGCCCCCCTCCTCCACGATTAGATGGTCATTCTGTTCGACTTCGAGTTGCCACACTACCTGATGTTTTATTTAGAAATCCATCAGTAAACCAAACTATTTTCGGGTTCGGTGAAACACACAATTCGGTGAAACGGAGTATCTTCTGGGAACTCTCATACTGGGAGGATAACCTGATCAGACACAATCTTGATGTCATGCACTGTGAGAAGAATTTCTTTGACAACATCATACACACAGTCATGGATGACTCGTCCTCAAAAGATAATGTTAAGTCAAGAATAGACTTACCATTATACTGTGATAAGGAAGAACTACACTTGTACTATGACCATTCTGGGTCGCTTTGCAAGCCAAATGCAAGTTATGAACTTAACACGGATAAAAAAAGATGTCTATGTACGTGGCTCAAACATGTGCGATTTCCAGATGGTTTTGCATCTAACATCGCACGTTGTGTGAACTTAGCTGAGTTACGCTTAGTTGGATTGAAGAGTCACGATTGCCACATATTCATGCAACGCCTCATTCCAATTGCTTTCCATGGCTTGTTGCCAGATTCTATATGGGGTCCATTAACAGAAGTAAGTAATTTTTTCCGTGCATTGTGTTCCCCAAATTTCAACATAAAAGACATGGTAGTTTGGGAAACAAAGATAGTTGAAATAATATGTAAGTTGGAAAGAATCTTTCCACCATCATTTTTTGATTGTATAGAGCACCTAGCAATCCATCTTCCTTTCGAGGCACGGATTGGTGGGCCTGTACAATTTCAATGGATGTACCCATTTGAACGGTAATGCAAACAAGTTCACAATAGTTTCATGTACAACAGAATATATAACAATTTGTTATGCTCATAGCTTATTTCAAATTTTACAGACAAATGCACAAACTTAAACAAACAATAGGGAACAAGAATCATGTTGAGGCATCCATTGTCGAAGCATACATTCTCAATGAAATAACAGATTTTTGCTGCCGATATTTTGGTGTGGATGTTGAAACAAGTTGGAGTAAGCCCCCAAGGAACTTTGCAGCAGTTCCACTTTATAGGAACACAGAATTCTCAATATTTGCATGCCTTGGTCATCCAATGGGTTCATATTTACAGACACGCTGTCTAACTACTCAAGAGATGAAGGCGGCTGAACTTTATGTACTACTAAACTATAGGGAAGTTGATGCACTTCTTGGGTGAGATATGACAAACTAAACTCTTTTTTATTAAATTTTTAGAGAAAGCTTGCTGAATTATAGCAAGCTAGTTCAACATTCCATTTGTGGTCACACCTAATTGTTTCGATATTTCAGCATCTTTGATCGAGAAGTTGGTGTATATATGACCCCTTCTGATCCACACAAAGCACGCAACAGAAGTTTTGTTACGTGGTTCAAAGATATGGTAAACAATATTCTTCATCATATTATGTTGTTTCAAATATTATTATATACCTATATATATATAATTAGGTAATATACAATATATTACCTAATTGAGTTTTTAACAAAAATACTATAAATTTGACTAATAACATGAACATATAAATTTGGTAGGTGTTAAATGGCCATCATGAAGGGAATGAGGTTTTGCAATACCTTGCACTGGGCCCATCATGGACAGTCAATGTCTACAGAGGTTATTATGTCAATGGTTTTAGATTTATGACACAAAAGGTCAGTAGTGAAAGACAAACATATAACTGTGGTGTATGTGTAAAAGGAACAACCATATCTGATAATGCTGAGACCGATTATTATGGCATCCTTAACGAAGTCATCGAACTATTGTATTATGGACCACATGCACAAATACAGACAATTGTCTTATTCAATTGTGATTGGTTTGATACACGTAGGGGAACACGCATTAACCAAGTTTATGACATTGTTGAGGTCAACCCACAGTATCGACTGTCGATCGGCGAGCCATTTTGCCTTGCGTGTCAATCAACGCAAGTGTATTACACTAGTTACCCATCAGATAATCGAGCAACTAAAGGATGGTTCGCCGCATGCAAAATACGTGCTAGACATTTGATTGACACTTGTTCAACTTCACTTGATATAGAAGAAATATTCTAGGATGAGGAGCCACCATCCACACAATCATTAGAGCATAATTCCTATTTGGCATCCACAGAATGTGTGGATTTGCATGCAGAAGGAGCAACAATGGTTGACTTAAATGGAAATGCAAATGATGATGTTGATGTTGATGAAAATGCAAGTGAAGGAAATGATGGATATGAAACAAGAAGCGATGCTGGTGGCAATAGTAGCGAGACTGAATAGTCATTAAATAATTGAAAGTCATGTAAAGTAATAGTTTTAAATTTTGGTTGTCATTAAAAAAAAAAAAAAAGTCTTGTGTACGAGACTTCTTAATTAACAAATATACTTATGAATTACTAATGATTGTTTCTTCATTGTTTGTTTCATTGACATTATTTATGATGTTGTAAATGCTTATAAAAAGAAAATTTATAAACTGGACATGTATTTACTTGGTGACATTAGTACATACCTTCTTTATGTGACCATATGTTTTGTAGGATGTCAGGCGAGCCCATTAACTTCGCGAGGAGTCGCACCACATCAGGGAGACGAGGACATCACGACGCTGTAGATCTTGATCTTGCACGTGATGTTACCCCAGTAATGAACGCGGGGCATACTCAGTCTATTAGTCCACAAGGTTCTGTTCATGTAGCAGCCGCATCCTCTAGCCAGAAGCAAAAGGAAAGAGGTCCAAACAAACCGAAAAAGGCTGCAAGAAGACCAGATGAGAGACCATTTATACAAATTTAGCATAAAGGAACATTCTTGGATGTTGAAGTCCCCAGATTGATTACAACCCTATGGAAGAGGGTTTATGATGGTGATTACTTAACGTATGAGTTGTTCCCAAAACACAAAATGGTGCAAGTGTGGGAGTTGTTTAAGGTAAGAATAATTATCATTTCATACATAATCCTTTCATCAGATATGTACTGTATGATTACTGATAACATAACAACATATATGATGAAGTAAAAATCAATATTGTTGGTGCATTAGTCGATATAGGTAATTTAATGGTATGAGTAATGCATACACCTTAAAAACAAGAAAAAAATGAATAAAAAAAATCATCATATGACATTGGTAAAACAATATGGTATCACAACAATCATCATATGACACAAAAATCCTTATAATTCTGAGTTTAGCAATAAAGTATTAAAAGTTTTGATTTGTTTCGATTAGCTCTTTCGTATGAACAGAATAGTAATTAACTATATACGAAAAATGGGATATGGTGTATATATTGTGTTATTATACTATATGTTATTAAGTTACTTGGAAATAATTTGTTCGTATGTGGTGACAGACACATTATCAATGGGCTGTAGAGGATGAGGATGCGGTCCGAAAGTCGTTCTTAAAATCAATGAAGAAAGGATGGGGCGATAATATGAAGGATGAGCGGGATAAGTGGCGTACAAACGATGAGTATAGGCCGGTATGGGTGCCTGAGCACCTATGGCCTACATTATGCACTTATTGGGATTTTGATGAGTTTCACATTCTTAGCGAGAGGGGGAAGAAAAACCAAGCATCTGGGGAACGAGTTTCACACACTACAGGATCAGTGAGTTTTGATGTACATGAAGAACGGATGGTAAGTAAGAAAAGAAAGAAAAGTGTATATATATAATAGATAATGAACACAATATATACTACTTTTTTGTATGATTATCGATTAACTATAAATATAAATAACTTGCTATTTGTCGTAATGTGGTTGTGACACACAGACCAAAGCTGCTGGGGGGATAAGGCCAGCACACCAAGACCTATATAAGGAAACACACACTTTGCAAAAAGGTGTCCCCCAAGGGCAGGAAGCTCCATGGTGTGGCGACAAACATAAGGATCGTCATGTAAGTGCAAACACTGGATAAAAAGTTTTCTATGAGTGATATAGATTGTTGGAAAAAGTGAATAAAAGGTATATTAATAAAGTTAGTGGTGTTAAGTACAATATAACAAAAATTTTGCATGAGTAAGTATTAGTATATGTAGGTGTTCATGAAACAATTGTGCTTGGGTATTGCTTGTCGCTCCATGATTGCTACTTTGTTATCACTTGTTCGTAAATAATAATGGTTACATTTTTCGGCATTGTTATGTGTATACTAAGGCAAAAATTTGCAATCATATATTGTAGATTTTTTTTGCATTACTCTTGTAGGATATGTATGTCAGTGAGTGCTTTGCTACTTATGGCTCGGACTCAGCATCATGGCCGCCACGAGACAATGACGCTTGGGTAGTTGCTGTTGGTGGATGCCATAGCAATTTCATGCCGGGAATTGGTTCACAGGTAAACTCAGAGGAACTTGGGTTTACATATAGAAAGTGACAACCAAAGGGGAATTCATATATGAGCCTGATGTTATCAGACATGGCCAAAAAACAAGCCAAAGATAGGGAGGCAATGCAAATGATGCGAGATGAAATAGGGCAAGTCAAAGAGCAACGAGAAGCAATTCAACGGATGATGGAAGAAATTGGGAGGATGCAAGCTTTTCTATCGCAGCAATTCACTGCTTTTAGTGCGTACGGGATGTGCCCGCCTAGTGCTACCCCATCGTTGCCTCACACCGGGCAAGCATTTCCTCTTGTAGGGACATCATTCCCTACTGCTGGGCCATCGTTTCATGCTAATGGGCCATCATTTCCTCATGCAACAACAATGCAACTCCCGATAGAACCTGCATTACCAATGGGCCAAATGGGGAGACAGTCAGAAGCTCCAAATACATCTTCACCCAATCCCCTGCAAGATGAGTTTGGTTATCAGCCGAGATTTGATGCAGATTACCAGGGTCCTTTTGGCCCCGAATGATCAGTGTGCATGAGGTTGCGAACACAAAACATGGCATGTTCTTGCTACTTGAGGAAAATACTTTTATTTTTTGGATGGAAGATTTGAACTTGTTAGGACATGAGTGTATATGTCAGTTGGAATTGAATGGTTTGTTGTAATATTAACTAAATTATTGTGACTTGCAAGTTTAGAATATGCAAATGGTCATGTTAAATGTTGCATGTAGTACTTATATACTTATCTTTTAATTTATGATTATGACATGAGGAATTATATAAGTAGTACACATTCATAATAATGTGATAAATCTAAAAATTATGATATAATAAATGACAATATACGTAATGTGCTATGGTAAAATCAAAGTGTAATAAGAAAAAGTATAAAAGTTGGGGCATGTTAAAGAGGTTCGAGCATTTGCTACATGTTAGAGTCGATTATATACATCAAGACTCGACTGTCAAGCCTTCAAGAGTCGACTATATGGGAACAACATTCGACTCCAAAATTCCAAAGAGGTTGGAGCACCATGTCTCAGGTTAGAGTCGACTCTATACATGAAGAGTCGACTCTAAAGCCTCAAAGAGTCGACTATGTATGACCAACATTCGACTCCCAAATTCGAGAGAGGTTTGAGCATCTGCTGCAGGTTAGAGTCGACTCTACATATCAAGAGTCGACTCTAAAGCCTCAAAGAGTCGACTATATATGACCAACATTCGACTCCCAAATTCCAGAGAGGGTTGAGCATCTTGCTGCAGGTTAGAGTCGACTCTATACATGAAGAGTCGACTCTAAATCCTCAAAGAGTAAACTATAAATAAGCAACATTCGACTCCCAAATTTCAGAGAGGGTTGAGCATCCTGCTGCAGGTTAAAGTCGACTCTATACATGAATAGTCGACTTTAAATCATCAAAGAGTCGACTATAAATAAGCAACATTCGACTCCCAAATTCCAGAGAGCAGGGGAAGTTCCCCGTGGTGCGTATAGTCGACTGTGTTCTTTATAGAGTCGACTCTTAACCCATAAGAGTCGATTCTAATATTAAAAAGTCGACTAAAGGTCAAAAATTACAATAACTTTATATGAAATATCTATGTAACATGACATATATGTTAACACATATTTTTAAATAAATTAGTGTTTTAAATTATATATATTAATAAAAAATATAATTATATTAATTAATTTATTATTATTAAATAAAAATTAATAAATTAATTAAAATTTAA